CGAGGAAGGTGATACACAGGAACGTTTTGTCGGTTATGATTCTTCAAGTGGGCATACAGGAAAATTAATTGCTGAAGTTGTCGTAGAATAATTAAATAAGATGGGAATCGACATTCTCTCACAACATTCGTCGGCTGTGACATAAGGGCGGCATCCACTTGGCCAGCAAAGAACGTTACAGTTGTTAACCCTTAACACGGATGTACTTCAACATTCCCTTGGGCAAAATATTATCAGCTTTAGAGAACAAAGACACAAAGATAACTAGAACAAGGCAACTTCAACGGATTTTTGGACCATGTGTTTATGCCAAAACTGCATAGAAATTGACTAAACGAAAATGTTTAAAAATTCTTATATTACTGAAAGCAAGAAGAAAACACACAATAGGTCTGCATATCACTGCTGTAAATGTTAGACTTAGAAAAACCATTCGGACGGGAAATCACGATGTTCTCACTAAAACAGTAAAGTATTTGATATTCAAAGTGTTACGTTACGATGGTTTCACAAGAATTTTGAAAATCTGAATTTTAATGTTTTAGATACAAAGTGTGGCATTCCACAGGGATTTGTTTTTGGTCAAATTTTATTTAGCTTGTATATATTAATGATATTCATAGTACCAATAGTTTATAGAAGATATTAATGTTTTTACTGCACAATTTGACTTACTTAGATTAAATGAAATAGTACAAATAGTTTGGCTAGCTATAAGTTAACTTTCTTTCTTGTCCATCCAATGTTCACAACTATTTCATGGTAATCAACATATTTTATTGTTTCGAGACTGATCACACGGACTAAGCTATAAAACAAGGCAGAGTCCACAAAGTACATTATCAAAGAATTTTACTGTACTGTAGTATTCTTATTACTTTTACTCAATAATTTTAAAATTTAAATTATGAGGAAATAAAGCCTTTTAGCCCATCAAACAGAAAACTAATCACTAAATTCTGCCCTGATCCTCCAAATTATCATCAGTCCTTTCCTTAAACTCCTGTAAAGTTACAGCCTATACCATTCTACATCCTGATACCATCGTAACATCAAAAATGTCTCTGAAATAAGCATACAAATTGTTTTTTGTTTTGTTTTTACCTATGACTTTTGGCACAGGGGTGTAGTAAATGTAGAAAATGCAATCAGTCTGTTTAACCCTAGAATGCCGGCATGAAGCCACTATGACTCCATACCACTTGGTAGTAATGATCAAAAATTTAAAGCTGGCATTCTAGAGTTAAGTCTTGACTAACACTACAATTCCCAATACTATCCCTAAGATACATGTAAATATATAATGGAGATTGCGCTTTATTTGGTGTGGTGTGTTTATTGAAAAAAAAATTCTCCCATAAAAGCATATTTGATATGCAGGTTGAAAGTCATCCAGAAATAACTTGAAAAGGTTTTATGACTACGTGGTAGATCAAAAGTGATGGCTACACCAAAAGAAGAACATATCTAAAAAAAATTCAAGGACACAAAAATAAGAGTTCTACCATGGTTGGACATCACACACTGTACATACAAATGAGGATTTGTGGACACTAGTCACCTAGTATACTCAATCAGGTGTCATGAGAGAAGAGTCTGCTACCAACTTCATGTACTTTCAACTTTAAAGTTAAAAACATAATTAAAAGATATCTCATTTCATGAAATAATTTTTCCCAAAAGAACAAAAACTAAGAATAGAGTAAATTGTGTATAAGGTTTTTCTAGAATTCAGAAAGACATTTAGGCCTGGTATAATAACTTGCTAAAATTAATTATAAACATGTATACTAAGTGTTTTTTTACTCTCTTGAGTAAAAACATTTCATCAAATTAACTTAATCAAGATATCCACACAAGCTTTGGATTTATAACATTCTGGCCATATCTCAAGTTTCCTGAAAAAATTAAATATTTCATAGGTAATTTTAAAAATATCAGAAAATTTCTCTGCTATCTTCACATATAAGTGTAAATCCTACCAACTGCTAATTTGATATATTGAGGGAAAATAACAAGTTATATTAAAAAATGTGAAAACTACCTAATTATATTGAAAAATTGTTTTTACTTTAGGATATTTACTGAATGTGCAATTACTGAAGAAATGAACAAAAATAAGCTAACAATAATTTGGTTTGCTGAGGTATTCAATGAAAGATGTTTAAAAGATACATTTAGTTACAACTTCCATAAATTAGGTGATTGATGGACTTTCATTTCCCCATATTAAAAGTGGAATCCATGCTTATATTTATAATCTCAAGGTTTTTGTGTGATTCAGACTCCACCAATGTTCAATGAAGATATTTGTCAGGATAATAGACCAAGATCAGTTGCTTATGTTTATCCAATTTTTAAGGTTGGGTGATAAGAATAATCCTGGAACTTCTAGGAAATCAGAGATAGATCCCAAACTGATAATCATAAAGGCCTCTAATATCTTTGTGTTGTATCATTGAGACAAAAGTGCACAAAATGGCAGGTTAGGCTTCAGATATAACAATTTTTATTTTCCTAAAACTAAGTACTTAGTTTAACTTTAACTTAAGCCACAGAAATTAGAATAAGTTGCTGTCAACAGTACGTTAGTGAAAATAATCGCTTTATAGAATAAAATGAAATTGATGATTTCATAAAATAAAAAAAAAGAAAATGAAAGAGAGTTTCATTGGGTGGGGGGACAAGTGTAGGGTCAGCCTTGAAAGTTGAATTATTTAAAGACAAAATAGTCCTTTTTTTGTCAGATTTTATGTAAATATTAGTATTTAGGTTAAACTTAAAGAAGCCAGGCTCCAACTCTTAACCTTTGTTGTGCCTGTAGCAATGCATTATGACTACAGTTGTGAGGACGATACATAAAATCACAGTTTTACTTAGTTTTCTATTAGTTTTAATTATAGTTCTTACCAGTTAGTTCAGAATATGTTGTTTTCTTTTGTTCACCAGGAGTTGTTGCCATTTTAAATATGGTAAACTTCAAACAACTAGTACAAAATTTATACCAATTTGCTACAATAGTATTAGTAGTAGGAGTACTTTATATAAAAATAATTTCAGCAGCTGACTCACAATATTGCCTTTTTCGTTAAACTGTCTCCGTCACTAGAGTTAATCCTACTCACAATCACCCGCTGCTAGTAACGTATTAACACCATAAGAGGGCGTAAATTTAAAAAAAATGTTATTAAAAAGTTAGAGAAAAACGACTTTTAAATTCCAGAACTTTTTATTTGAACCAATGCCTTTGCGGCTTCATCAGGGTTAGTACATTCAAGAGGACTGTATATGATAAACTACTATAGTATTTTCAACGAGACTGTACATGACAAGCTGCTATAGTATTTTCAATAGGACTGTATATGACATATTAACCGTGATGAAGCCGCAAAGGCGAAACGTTGGTTCAAATAGAAAGTTCTTTTATAATTTTCTGGAATTTAAAGGTCGTTCTTCTCCAACCTTTTAATAAAAATGTGTAAATCTCTCAAGTGTGCACTACAAATTTTGAAAGACAATTAAAAATGTCATTTTCAATAATTCGCAAAATGAGCTACAAATATGACTTTAAAACCAAATATGGATTATATTTTAATGAATATATTTTAAGTGTTAAATTATTTGGAATACTAATTACCAATTTATTATTAATTTGGTTGGTTTGTCAGTCATCACATAAATATATTTTGAAAATGTAGTACATGTGTACCATACACATTTGAACAGTACATATAGACGACTGTGAAATACGGAAAAAAACACAAAAACAGATTTCTTTGTTAATTCACACTACAAATTTTCAGCTTATATCAATAAGCATATAAGCTTTCACTTTAATTGTTATGAGGCTTTGTACAGTTTGTTGAGCATGAGAATGAGTTATCTGTTTTATTTTATCTTTGTTAGTGTTGTAAGTATTCTATCTTGGGCGAGTTATTTTGTATTATTTGGTAAAAAGTAATGTCAAGTCAGTCCACAAAATGATAATTAATTTATTCATTTTTTTAATAAGTCAATAGCGTTTGTTAAAAGCTACGTTTGCTTGTAGGACTAACTTCAAATACAATGCAGATAACGTTTATCAGAATTTTTGAAAATTAGCATGGGCCTCACTCACAAATAAACGTACTTGCATAATTTCAGTCACAGAAGCAGTAACCCTCACTGTGTAATTCTAACTAAATCACAGATGAAATAGCTATCACTGCCTAACTGCCACTGAACTAACTCAATCATTAATTAACTCAATGCTTCATTTTTTTTAAAACTAACTCATTAACTGACATTTATACCAATTTTCGTTTGCTACATTCTGCATGAAATTTCCAGATTCTTAACTGTAATGAAACTTCTAGATATTGTGTCGTATCAATACCCAATGGCGAGCTTTCTTTAACAAACAAACATGTAAATTAAAACATTGAAAATATTACTTACGACATTAATTATTGCAAGCTGTTTAACATATAATCGTATAGTATATCATTATGTTTAATTGTAATAATTTCTGTTACATTTATCATTCAGGCTTTTATTACTGTAATTTTGTTTTTGTATTTATTATTGCTTTTACATTTCAGTTAGTTGTTTTCAACTTTGGGTTTTACTTTCGGTTTCTCGCTTTTAAAACTGAAAATGTATACAAAGGATAGATGTGGTCTCAGCGTCAAATATATATTGTTAAGTTAATTATTAACTATTGCAAGTTTTATATCTAATTACCTCACAAACACATAGTTAATTAAATATTAACTATACGATAGGTAAAGGATGAAATAGAAAGTTTTTAAACTTTTCTAACCATACTAAAACTTATAAATATTTTCTTACAATTGGTATAATTTTGGGGAGAAATTTATATATTAATGTAAAAATAATAGTTAAAAAATAATTCAATAATTTCGAGTTTTATAATTAAACGGAGAAATTTACAATGCAGTTTTTTTTAATACAATGTTTGTGAAAATTTATAAAACAAATAGATCTTATCATTAGCTCCCTTACTGGATACTTTTATTTCACTATTTTTAAACTTTCTTTATATATTCTTTTTTATATGTTTTATAACAATACAAAAAAGAAAACAAATGTTAGTTGTGAATATAAAAATATATATTACTTTAAGGTTTTGGAGCTGATTGATATTTGGTTTCGTTTCTTAAACCATCCAATATAATTTGTATAATCTACCGAAATATTAAACGCTTTCATTGTGCCCTTTTGGGTAAGTTTAGAAATATTTATTACAGAGAAAATTGCATTTTTTTTCATTTACAGAGAGTTAGATTTATTTCTTTTTAACTTTTTACAAGAGTTTTCGTTGGATACGAAATGTAGTAATTTAAGTTGTAAAAAAAACACTACTTTAATAGAAATAAGTAGCGGGTTAACGTTTAACTCGGTTGTTACAGCATTCACCTGGTGTGTGGAATTGTTTGTTTTGAATTTCACACAAAGCTACACGAGGGCTATCTGCGCTAGCCGTCCCTAATTTAGCAGTGTAAGACTAGAGGGAAGGCAGCTAGTAAAAACCACCCACCGCCAACTCTTGGGCTACTCTTTTACCAACGAATAGTGAGATTGACCGTCACATTATAACGCCCCCACAGCTGAAAGGGCGAGCATGTTTGGTGTGACGGGGATTCGAACCCGCGATCCACAGATTGCGAGTCGAGTGCCCTAACCACCTGGCCATGCCGGGCCCAGGTGTATGGAAGGTTTGGGACTCAAATCTGAAATAAGGAAACACTAAGTTTAAAATTGCTAAATGCATGCAGTTGTAATTTTATTTCTTAAACTGTTCTATCGAGAAGTTTCGAATAACTTATGAATCTAAGCATAATACTTGAAAGCTTCTAATCTGGTAGTCAATTTTTAACGAAAGAAAAGCCAACAACGTGAGAGCGTCATTCAAACTAGAGACAAAAGGTAACTCAGCATATACATTTAGATACATTTATTCAAAACATAACCTAATTATTTGCTTTTTTGAGAGTTAAAAATTATATCTGTGTTTTAAACACTCACATAATTGCAGCCGTATTCTCGTTAGCGTATTTTACAATATCAAATCCAATTTTTTCTTTTGTATGTGTTTCAGATATTCATGCAAAGCTACACAAGAATTATCTGAGCTTGATATCCTTAATTTTAAGCTGATAGACTAGAGGGAAAGAATTTAGCCAAAAGTACCAACCTCCATCTTCATGGGTTACATTAATCACCAAACGTTAACATCTAATCTTTCATACGGAATATAAGTTGATAAAAATCGCGTGTGTTATTAGAAACTCTGTAATGAAACAATTAGAAAATGTTTTAAACAACTTATTAGTTAAACCGTTATGTATATAAACAGTAATAATTTCATTATACACAGATGTTCTAGAAGTGAAAGGTAAACTTAATAAAAGTTATGTAGGATCTTCTTCAGTACCACAGCACTTGAAGTACCCAGAGGTGGTTCTTTAAGGTCATTCCTACATTTTCTCAAGCCATGATATAGTGGCCGAAAAATGATGGTGCTACTGGCCAATATAGTTTTCCTAAAAGATTGCTGAAACAACATTTATTACAATTTTCATAACATATCAATATTTCTGGCAGTTTTAAACTTTAGCAAGTTTAAAAGGGAAAGCGAACTTCAATTTTTATTACTAATAACACTTAATTAATAAAAAGGTATATGTTTTTGCGTAAATAAATGTAGATTTTCCCGCGTTTTTCTATAATTTTAGGTGACAGATAATGACATGCATCTGCTCCAAGAGCAAGTTCAAACTCTAATAATGATAACTGGTAAAATCTAGGAATTTCTTTAGTTTAACAATAAAAAAGGGATAATGTTTTGATTGTACAAAAAGCACATGGATTTGTATGTGACATTGGTTAGGTTTATATAGATTATATGTATGTAATACATACTTTCTGAGATTATATATATATATATAT